ACCGTGACAGAGAAATCCTAGTACCCATCACAGACCGTGACAGAGAACTTCCGGACCCATCACAGACCGCGACAGAGAACCTTCGAATCCATCACAGACCGTGACAGATAAATCCTGGTACCCATCACAGACCGTGACGGAGAAACCTCAGTACCCATCAGAGACCGTGACTGACATAACTCAGGGGTGATTATAGACTATGATAGAAGACTTCAAAGAAATATCAGATATGATGCATAAATAATATATGATTGAAGCATATATGGAGTATTATCCTGTTGAGTGTCTATAAAGTAAGGTGAACCATTATGAAGAAATGTACATCAGTATGCATAAAAACAGCAGCTTTTTGAATATCACCTATAGCAGCTGCATCGTGTTTCACATTTTTAATCCCGCAAGGGATTGCGCTAACAGCTTTTTTCATTGCATCAAAATTTATAAAAACAAAAATGATAATACTGTAACGTCTTCGTAGCATGCAATGTATGCATGATATTTTCCTCTTCTTACTATTTCTTCTCATCTTATGCATTGTCCTTATATTTCTGTCCATAGTATATCGTACTGTACTTTGTCCCTATCATATTGTACTTATCTTCTGTCCTTGTTGTTGTTTCCTTTCCTATTCTCTTCTTCTCTTTTATGGAAGAGTATATAAGCGCATGCTTTGTATGTAAACGATGCGATTCTTGATAGGAAGAAATACAATAAAACATAGTTCCATCAACGCTAGATCTTCTTTCATCCAAAAATTGTCACAAATACTACAACGTAAGAGAAGAAAAAGTCAAATTTTGACATTCTATGTTAACAAACGAAAATACATAATTTGTTCAATAAATAGACAAAATATAATATTTTAGATATTTATACAATTTTGTCTGTTTAATTAATATATGGCTAGTGCTGCTCTATCAAATGATGACTTTCCAATGAACACAGACGATAAAAATCTTGAAATATTTTCTCTTATTTGGCTCGATAAGAATGCGAACATTAAAGATACTCGAGATACAGAACAAAAATTACGTTCTATTATCAATCATTTGAAGAAATTTGAAGATGTAAAACAATGTCAACAATTTATTGAACAAAGATCAAAAAAAGATCGATTAATGCTTATTGTTAATGGTCAATTAGGACAAGAAATAGTGCCATTGATTCATAATCTTCGACAAGTTATGTCAATCTATGTTTATTGCATGGATAAAAAGAGCAATGAACAATGGGCTTATAAATTTGCAAAGGTAAAGTTATGATAAAAGACTTTACTTTGATATGATGATTTTTTGGTAGGTGAAAAGTGTTATTGTTGACCTTGATGAACTTATCTTTCGAATTACAGAAGATCATAAAATCCAAAAAAAAGTAGAAGAACCATTATCAATCAATGTTTTCACAACAAATAGTGATGAAGGTAAATCAACAACAGGATTAAATGGTCAATTTGTTTTTTCTCAAGTTCTTATTGATTGTCTTGTACGATTAAAATCTACTCAAACAGATAAAACTGAACTTATTAATCTTTGTAAAACTGAATATGCAGGTAATCATAGTGAATTAAATAATCTTCGTGAATTTGAAGAAGAATATTCATCTAATAAAGTATTATGGTGGTATACAAAAGACTCATTCTTTTATAAAACTCTGAATGCAGCATTACGTACTCAAAATATTCATATGATTTTTTTATTTCGTGAGTTCATATCAGATATTCATCGTCAGTTGCAATATGATCAAACAAATAATCCTTTACAAGTTTATCGAAGTCAGCTGATATCAAACGATGAATTAGATTATCTCAAACAAAACATTGGTCAATTCATTTCCATAAATTCATTTTTTTCCACTAGTACAAATCGTACAACAGCTCTCTTCTTCCTAGGTGATACAACTTCACTGATTGGTTTGAAATTGGTGGGAATATTGTTCGAGATCGATGCCGATCCTCAGATGGTTACTACAAAACCATTTGCTGATATCAGTAAATACAGTCATTTTACTAATGAATCAGAAGTACTCTTTATGATTAGTTCACTTTTTCATCTTAATAGTATTATTTGTAATGATGATCATGTTTGGATCATTAAAATGAGTTTGTGTAGTGATGATGAAAATGATTTAAAACAAGTTCTTTTACGCATGAAACAACAACTTGGAAAGGGAGAAACAAATCTTCGAACATTAGGAAGAGTATTATGGGAAATGGGAAAACTTGATTTAGCTGAAAAATATATTAAACGTTTATTAAATGAACTTCCATCTAATAATCAATTGCGTTGCAACTTATATGAAGATCTTGGTAAAATTGCTTCACAGAAAGGTGATTATGATATGAGTATTCAATGGTATCAAAAAGCTCTTGAAGTTCCAAAACAAAATATATCAACTGGTAAGTACAATAGCAAACAAAAAACAATAGGCAGATATCCTAAGTCAGAATTCGAATATTTCCTAAATGGATTCGTCCAGGAAGGAAACCAATGTAGACCAAGTTAGAACTCGATGAGCTCTATCCAATGCATTAATCACATTGTCCAAAATTCCCTTTTATCTCATATAAAAACTTCAAATGCTCTCAATAAAAAGACCAAAAAAGCCTTTATACTTGCGAAAAACTCGTCGTCTTCTTCGGAAGGGTTTTTGCTGGAATTATTAACAAACAAAGGACTAGTTAACAATTTTTTCTATTGGTGATACACTCGAATTTGACGAGTAATATGTGGAATCGATACAACACATCGGGTTCTATCTATATGCATGATTAGAGTACTGCGTGGGTTTGGCTTTTGGAACCCGAACTCGACCCGAAGATAGTCAAACCCGAGCCCGACCCGACCCGAGAAATTAAATTCATTTATTTCATTGTAGTTTATGATATTTTGTATATTTCCCAATTTGAAGCAATGTTCGAATTTTTTGTTTTGGATCCATTTTGGAAGATAACCAAAACAAAAGTATTAGATCTGACAAAAAAATATTAATTATTGATACAGATTCTGTTCCCTAGACTGAAAGGATAGGGTCTAGAAACCTAAATTTTCTGTGTTTGGATTGGTTACGTCTTTGTTTGTATCGGTGACGTCTGTGTTTGTATCGGTGACATCCTTGTTTGTATCGGTGACGTCTGTGTTTGTATCGGTGACGTCTGTGTTTGTATCGGTGACGTCCTTGTTTGTATCAGTGACAAAGGTCGCTTGAGTATTTTGGCCTGTTCTCCGAGGTAAATTCATCGTTTTGGTGAATTTCGTAGTCACATTCTCGGTTTTATCTTTTGCCAATTTTTTCTAGCAAACTTTGAAAGAAATATCGTATATGTTCTTTTTTTTTCAAATATCAATCTTCTCTGATTTGCTTTTCGTTTTCGTGTTTTATCGCGCTTTTCTTAATTTCACTTTAGAATATGTTATTATCATAAATAGTTTAATTTTCATTGAGTTTGCTTACTTGAAATACGAAGTTGCAACGAAATAACGGTTCCAACTCGTCTTCTACTGACTTTAATTCTTCCAGTAATATTGAAGAGTATGTGAAAATTTTCTAATTTAGTTGGATATTGATGTGCACTATCACCTTCTCTATATAGTATTTGTTCAGCGTCTTATTCTCCAAAAAGTTGCCGTCAATAGATATCCAAATGTCGACTTCTAAGGACCGAATGCGAGCTTTTCGTGCCCGTCGTGCACTCGTAGAGACTGCTGAACAAAAAGAGAGTCGACTGGCTGTTGATAGACAATATAAAAAACAGCGACTGGCTAATCTTCATGTCAATCAAACAAATGAAGAAAAGCAGGAGCATCTTGCATCTCGTAGCCAATACGAAGTGAAACGTCTAGCCAACAAACGTGCAAAAGAAAACGCAAAGGAGAGAAAAGAACGTCTTACAGCGAAGCGTGAGAAAGAAATGAACCGTCGACAAAACTTACGAGCGCGCGAGACTGATGCGGAACGAAATATTAGATTAGAGTGTGATTGTAATCAACATCGGTAAGACTCACAGTTTCTTTGCTTTTTCTATCAAACATTCTTCTTTTCTCTTTCGCTCGTAGGGCGAAAACACGTGCGAGAAATGATTCAAATATGGCAATAAACCGAAACTGCGCTGTATGTAGCTATAAAATCATGACTCAAAATTGGTCACAATTAACTATCAGATCATTTCCGAACCTTCATCGTCTTCGACCTCAGAGCGAAGAGATACCCGATTCTGTTCTGAAAATTGATTTTTCACGATTTACTAGTAAGAATCTATATTGATCGCAAATCATCATTTTGAAACGTTTTCTAAATTAAAATAGGCTATGTTCGGCGATCGTTAGAAACTTTTTCTGGTTTCGATGTTCTCGTGAATGGAGCAATATTAGGACGACGCGGGATCGACACGACAACTGGTTTGATAGTCGTATGCCGTGGCTGTCAGACCTCTTTACAAAACAATGCTACGCCCACATCGGCTTTGAGCTGCTTATACTCGCCAGATAATGCTTCAGATGAGGAATAACTTTCATACTGTATATAAAATTGACGTTACTTAATATTTTTAAGCTGTTCATGCATAAAGACGGAACATCACTATATTTAAACCCAAATTGCTTTCCAGTTTGTCAGTTAATGATATCCTAACTATGAACGGTAGAGAGATTTGATAGTTTTCGCGAATGCTATGGATGCCCAAAATTTCGACTACAAAAGCTTAACAATTGGTTCTTTCGAAATTTCTTGTTTCAGAATCTCCAATTCTTCGGTCAATCAAATATATTCAACCATCTGCACTATACGATAAAGTGAATCTTCATTCGATGAATATTATTTCTTTTTTTTACAACTTTTAGACATTTACAGGGTTGGAAATAATATTATTCCAGGGGGGAGGGGTAACACTATAATTACGAATAGCAACCATAATGAATTTTATACCAAATGAAAGCCCGTAAAAAATGGGGTTTCCTGATACTAAATTGTAAGGGTTTTCAAGATATTTTCATAGAATAAACCTTCAAAAGTTTCGCAATCTCGTAGAATACATTCGTTCTAATCTATTTTCCGGGAACTGTAGAGCAAAGAAAAACAGATATTTTCCGTAGAAACATCGAAAAGATCTTTGTTTAAACGATCATAAGACGTGGATTCGATTGAGAAATAGGACGATCCTTTTACGTCCTATTGTTCGGTCCACCTGGAAGCAGCTATTTAGAAGACTTTTTCATATTTCATATCGGTAAACTATAGTAACTTTTGAAGATGTATTGTATGAAAATATCTTGAAAACCCTTACAATTTCGTATCAGGCAACCTCATTTTTTACGGGCTTTCATTTGGTATAAAATTCATTATGGTTGCTATTCGTAATTATAGCGTTACCCCCCTCCCCCCCCCCTGGAATAATATTATTTCCAACCCTGTATATTTCTGTTCTTTGTAATTCCACCTGCTGAACTTTAAACTGATTTTACTGTTAATTGATTTTTAATTACGAAATTCAAAAACACTCGGCTTTTTCCTTGTAGCACATTTTTTTATTTCGGTCAGAGCTGTACTCTTTGATAGTCTCATCTTCACATCTAGTCATATCACATGTCATCGTGTTTCAGTCTAGGGACGAGTGAATCGGAATCCGATGAACGTCACTTGTCTATACTATGCGATTTAATATCGAATTAAGGAATCTGATTGGCATTTCCAAGTAGCACCACCGATCAGATTCCTCAATTCGATATTAAATCGCATAATGTTGATGTATTCTCTCAGCCTGATGAATCATTAAATCAATATCAAATATATGCGTTGTGGGGCACTACATATTTTGCCTCTTTTTTTCTAAATTAATATCGAGAATCTTTGAGTCTGAGTAGAGTAAAGAGACGAGGTAAGTGTTCATTTATCTAGCTCAAGTGGAAATTTTGAGACTTAACTTTATAAGCAAAAATAGACGCTCTGCTTTTTTTAATTTAAAATCTATTTTCGGACGGGATGTCCAGACGGGGTTAAAGATTCCAAACCATTTTGGACTAGTCATGTAGTAGGACTTTTTGAGAAAAAGACTAGACATGACGCATAGTCACGACTAGAAAAATGACTAGTCTTTTTACCCGTCCTTTGCTCGCCTGGGTACTATTGTCTCACTTATTTGACTATTTTTTTCTGCTGAGGATCCGTACTACGTAGACAAGGCAAAAAAAAGGTCGAATCTATGTGTCTATTGTTTGAACTATTGACCAATAAAATTAAATTTCATTATTCTTTGAATTTAACATTAAAGATAATATAGAGAACCAGTATATACTACACAAAAAAGGAATCCGATAAAAACTTGACATTTTTTGAAATCAAACTCGCATCCGTGGGTCGGATCAAGTTGCAGCACTCTATCCATGATTAATTCAGTTTAGGCCTCTTTCTCCGCGAATCAGAAGGAGTTTTGACAAATCTAAAGGCTTTTCTATCGGCATTTCAGACTTTTCTTTGAGATAAAAGGACTTTCTGAGGAAAGTAATCAGTGCATCGGATAAAGCGCGTCGAGTTCTATCTAGACCATCGCTAGACCTATTAGGCGAATCAATTCGGAAAAGACTAAATTCTTATCTGGATATCCTATGTGATACTTAATTTTTTTCTCTCAATTAAACAATATTAAAACACTTGAAAGATGCAGAGATCATTTCGTAGATCTATCAAATGTATAAATAAATTCAAATTAAATTAAATTTTTGATTAAGTAATAAAGAATAATTATTGTTTTGTGAAAAAATCTAAAATGAAGATAAATCTATTTTATATCAAAAAGAAATTCTTTGAGACTATCTCACAATCACACTCAGAATAGATTTAAGTATTATTTTCAATGATTAATTTTTAAAATGTCTTGATCTTTTGTATTTATCGACAAATTTCATTTTTTAATTCTCAATTCTTCTTTTTCTCAAATTTCGATTGATTCTTTTTATTTATGAATTCATATTGTAAACTTTGTTTATTCTTTTAAATTTCATTCAATCAATGATAAATCCTTCTTTGAAATTTCAGATCTTACAAATCATATTGAATAATCGTAAATTGAAAATGATGGAAATTCGAAATATTTATTTTCGATTATTTTCATTTGAAAGTTTTATTATGTTCTTAAATAATCATAAATGTTTCCTGTTTTATTTTATAATTTCTCAAATAAATCAAAATAAAAAAAGGAAACTTTGAAAATTGATCGAATATTTTCTAAATCACTAAAATTTAATTTTTATTTTCGAATTGAAATTTATTTTCTTACTCTTCTTTACGTATAGAGTATCTCATTGTTAAATTAACTTTAACGAAAGATATTTTATTCTTATTTCAACTATTTAATCGTACTTCTTGTTCTAAATGCAGGAGGGAAACAGCGGAAACTTCAGCCGTGAAATCTTGTTAAGTCTTATAAGTCTGGTGAAGTCTCTTGAAGTCGCATGAAGTCTTTTTGCTGTCTGTTGAAGTCTGCTGTTCCCCCTTGTCTAAATGTTCGTTCTTTCGAACTGATCAAAATTCACTAAGAATTAAAATATCCAAATTCATTTGTTTTTCATGATAATCTTCTTCATTCTGAAACTCGATAAATAAAAAAGCTATCATTTCATCAAAACAAGGGTTCTCATCTAAAACTATTTCAAAGAATGATAAAAAAAAACAAATTCTGAAAGAAAAATAAAATTTTCAGAAAAAAAATATATTGTTATTTTTTTTATTTTTTGGAAAATTTGTTAAATATGTAAAATAAATTTAAATAAAAATATTTTTTGTTCTTTGTAAATTAAATAAATGAGGGTGTGGGTGTGGCTGTGGCTGTGGGTGTCTGGTTGAAGACAAACATAACACTCATACCCACTCACACTCACACCACACCCACACCACACCTACACCACACCCACACCCATACCCACACCCTCGACAATTTATTCAAAACCATAAAATAAATCTGCAGAAATGTTTTAAAACAAAATTAATAAGATTCTTTTTTTTTTAATGAAATTTCTTTACGAAAAAGTATTATTTTAGATATTGAAATAAACAAATCAGTCTGACAAAAAATCTTTTTTTCGTTTTTCTGATCTTCATTTCAAATTTAATTTATCAAAACACTTCTCTTTACATTTAGATACAAAATGGAAACAACGGGGAATCAGTATTGTGAAAGAAAATAGTGCAGGAATTACATACGGTCTACTCTCTTGTCCTTTTGGCATATGTAGTGATGATGATCAAAACATTTATATTGTTGACCATTTCAATCATCGTATTGTTGAATGGAAATGTAATGCAACAAATGATCCAATTGTTGCAGGTAGAGATGGAAGTGAAGATCAAACGAAGGAATCACATTATCCAAAAGATGTGATTATTGATAAAGAAAAGAATTCTTGGATCACCTCTGATTATTATAACAGACGAGTAATGCGATGGTCTCTTGATAATAATATAAAAAATGGAGAAATTATCATCAAGGATATTGCCTGTTATGGTTTAGCAATGGATAAGAATGGGTCTCTTTATGTCTCTGATTACAGCAAGAATGAAGTGAGACGATGGAAAAGAGGAGACCAAAGTGGAACAATTGTAGCGGGTGGCAATGGGAAAGGAAATGACCTCAATCAACTCAATGCTCCTACTTTTATCTTTGTTGATGAAGATTATTCATTGTATATATCAGATAGGAACAATCATCGTGTGATGAAATGGTTAAAAGGTGCAAAAGAAGGAATTGTTGTTGCTGATGGAAATGGTTGTGAAGATAGTTGGGCACATTTCTTGTGTCCTGAAGGAGTGATTGTCGATCAATTGGGTCAAATCTATGTGGCAGATTCTTTCAAAGATCGAGTAATACGTTGGTGTAAAGGAACTGAAGAAGGAACGATTATTGTTGGTGGAAATGGACGCGGAGAGCAATCAAATCAGCTCAATTATCCCACCCGTTTGTCATTTGATCGAGAAGGAAATCTTTATGTCGTTAATTGGGGGAATAATCGAATACAAAAATTTGAAATAAAGCATTGAAGACAAATTTATTGAATTGAAGAAAATTTTGATTTGTTTATTAATTGATTTGAATATTTATAAGGGTGTGGGTGTGGATGTGTGTGGGTGTTGGTGTGTGCTCAATCCGTCCACACCCACCCACATCCACACCCACACACCCCATACCCCACACCCTCCTTTTCTTTTTTTTGTCATGTTTTCATTAGAAATCTTCATTTAATTGATACGAAATTCGAGATGTCTAACTTTTCAATGATCGACCATGGTATTCAGAAAAAGTATTTCGATTTTCACTCCTGTGACAATATTAAACTTGAATTAAAACGAAGCAACAAATAGATGATTATCACAGATGATCGAAAGGGAGAACGAAAAAAATGATAATTAATAATTAATATTTCAAGGCATATGTTAAAGTTATTGATTAAGATTTACCAACAAATGCTACTAAATATGACATTCAATCCTCACATACAAAATGCACTTTAATCTATTCTAATAATTCATATAAAAGAACATATTACTTTTACAATTATACACCAATGATTATGAATAGACAACCGATTTGTTTTTATTTATTCAACTATTTCAGATATATAAGATAAACAAACTAATCTGTATTGATATATGTCATATTTACCAAATGTAAAACTTAAACATCTGTTTACAGAAAAAAAAACAATTCAAAGTTAATAAGTATCGCTAATAAATAATGCTTGGCCAGTATGGTTCGATTGCAAAAATACTATTAATAAATTTTCATTATTTATTTAGTCATAACAAAAACAAGTGTATAACGCAGGAAAATAAATATTGAAATCTTTTGAACGTTGTACTTTTCCTTCACCGATATCTAATTCGTTCACTTTGATACAATTGCGTCGCGTTATATATCTTGTAAAGTTTTTTGTCACAACATATAAATAACCATAATAAACTTTTAACTTGGTTAGACAAGGTAGATGTACTTTTGTCTCATTGAAAAATTGCTCGACATAATCAATATGAAAACAGCTAACATCAAGCGAAATAAGATGTGGATATTTAACGATTGAATTCAATTGATTATCATTAGAGTCCAATTTTTTTGATATTTGTGACTGGGAGTGCAAATTAATAACACATAAATGTTCAAGTAAAGGAAAAGATCAAGCAATTCGAATGAAAAATTCATGTTCGAATGGAACACCATCATACACCGTCAATCTTCTAATATGACTGAAAATAATACTTGGAGATGTATTACCAATACACTCAAGATAATCAAACATGAACGGTAATGAAAAGACATGACATATAGCACGACGATGTCCGTATTGTACCATACAAGCCACTTCTTGGTATATTGTGTTAGGAAAAGTTCCTTGAATATCATCTTTAGATAAATGATGAACTAAACGATCCATATCAGTGTCAGTACAAATACAAAAGTTGAATATATGAAGTTGTGGCACATGGACAAGAATTTCATTATAAATGTGGGTACCATCGATAAAAGCAGTTCTCAAGTTGATAGTCAGATACAAAGTTAATTCTTCAGGATTTATCATACGACGAATAAGAAGTGACATTTCAATAAATGTATCAATAAAGCAATTGGACGTTGTTGTTAAAGAGAAACATTTCAAATTAAGTAGATCATCCTAGAAAATATAAATCAATATTAGGAAATATATTATTTGAGATTAGAATAAGAAAATCTTCTGATAAATAATTGATTGAAACGCTTCATTCTATTTAATCCATTTTTACATATTTCTTCTATACTTTGATATATATCTTCTTCTGCAATGATGACTAAGCTAATTTTCTTGTATTTTTAAACTTTCAGCACATAAAAAAAGAAAAGTTAGTCGCATCTAGTTTTTCTGTAATTTTTATCTATATTTAATAATGTTTATCTATTCTCATCTACTATTCATGAACCTTTTTGTTTTATGTTTTTCTTTCATTATCCCTATTGCCTTGATATTTACAGTCTTTAATATTCCTGATTCCTGTAGTTTTTTTCTGATTATTATCGGACAATAAAATTGACTAAATGAAAAGCAAAAAATAAAAAAATAAAAATTGTTTACAGATGAGAAAGAACAATTAGACAAAGTTTGATCTCCTATGAAGTTTTCGAAGAATTAGATATATTTTCAAAATCTCTAGAAGATAAACATTCTCAGTCTTATTTTTAAACATGTCGTTTTTGAGTAGAAAAGTACGTGATCAACAGATCTAAAACTCAACAGTTTATTTGTTAAAATAAAATTCAATTATGCACTTTATTTTTCAAACTGACTTATACCGATGAAATAGTTAATAATTAAGAAAATATGATAAAGAAAACTGACTGGATCTGCCTATCAAATAGACATATATCCATTTTACAACTATTTCATTACCATTAAACAGTAATTCATTAGCAAAAAAAAACGTCTATCTATAATAATATGAACACAATTATTACTCAAATCAGTGGTAATTTTTTCAAGTCGAAAAGATTAATTTAATAAAATGTAAACTTACCATATTGTATACATTCGAGGAATCACATCGTATATCAATAATATCAACAATCAAGATTCTTAATTGTTTGAAACGACCATCAAGTACAGCGCAAGACAATCTGCATAACTTATCACACGAATACGTAAGTTGTTAAGAGTTGCAGAGGAGAAAGTGGTTGAAGGTAAATCAAGACACACTAAACGTGGAAAAGAACAGTAAGATGATCCATTAATAGATAAATGTTTTAGATTTCCAAATAAAAACATAAACTGTTATTGTCTGAGTCTACCTATTCAACAGTCTTTTATCTAATTTTTTTTACTACTCCGTATGTAAGTTATTTGTCTGTAAAATAACGTGAAGCAATTTTACCATTAAAACTAAAGAGTTTAAGCTCAGTTAAATTAGGATAATCGGCAGTACGAAGAATACGTTCCATAAATACTGAATCAACAATAAGACATTTAACATTGTGATGAATTCTTGGTAAAATATGTATGCAAAATCGATCAACTATTGCATTGCTAATCGAGGAAATATCATTAGTGAATGTTGTTAATACAAAATTGAGAGTATTAGTGAAAATATTTTCTTGAGCTATAATGTCGAGTCGTTGATTATCAACATCCAACAATGAATAAAGAACATTCATATTGTCGAGCTTTTTTAAAATGATAAGTAATATTCCGTCAGGTAAATCAAGAAAGCCAACATTAGACTAATTCATGTTGAATTTGACAAATATTTTTCTTATTATGCATATATATATCTATATATATAAAGAAGAAAGTTTGTCTGTTTGTTTGTCTGTTCTTCATGCATTTCCACACCGTACGAGCAAATGCGGCCAAACTTTGCATGGTATACTCTTTGATCCAGGAGAAGGTCAACGACTACTTTCTGTCGAAAAACCATGGGTCCTCCGCCCGCAAAAGGCTCGCTTCTGTATCTGACCAATCAGATTGCAGCATTCGGTCGTATCGAAGAACTGTTGAGTAGCACGTTATGAGCACACACAAGGCATGTACCTAGGGGTTTTCGAAGGTGCTGAGCTTGAATCTGTGGTCCATTTGCTTGGAAATCTGATTGGTTGGCCAGAAACCAATAGGAATTTAGCTGCCAAGAAACCAGCTAATCAAACATGCGTTTTCGGGAAAAAAGTCAGGTAGAGGCTTTCAGAGGCAGTGAGTTCGAATTAGGAATCTAATCACCTCAAAATTTTATTGGCTAGCCTAAAACCAATCAGAACCGAGTTTGTGGGAAAACGAATATCATTGGATGATCGGCGGAAGGACATTAGGAATTGGAAGTTTATTGAGCTCGATACTCTACTGCAGCACCCGTGGCTCTACTGGGTGACCTATGTCACATACAAATCGAGTTTTGAGGAAATTGGTTTCCTGAGGATTGCGTGAGGCGGGAATTTCGAATAGATAGTCTATGAGACGCAAAGTTTGTTCGTCATAGATATCGACTCCTTAGGTTGCTAAAGAGTCTGTCCCACACAAATCTTTCTGTCTGTCTTTCTTTGTAACCAATCGGAATTCAGTGTGATTCCAGTAGTACAAAGTACGATATATATGGTCGTAATTCTCCCGATCAATGGGTATTGTGAACGCGACATTCTAGAGCAATTAGATATATCGTTGTGTTTAGTTGCGACCAAAGTGGATTTTTCTTGCAACACTGTCGAAGAATCGATTGTCCATGTGGGCTCCTCACTAGAAACACAACTAGACAGCTCTGAAACCGAGAACGAGATCAAGCGCGACCGGGGTCAGTTGAGACCGGGGATGATCGAGACAAATATGTGCTCTTATAAATGTTTGACCAAGTTAGAAAGTCGATAGAACTCATCAGTTTCATCGAGCTCTCCTAGATCTAGACGTGGAAGGATGAAGAATCCTTACGAATCTAACTTTCTGCACATATTTCTATCATTTAGACTAGTCCGAACTAGACCGCTACATAAGACTGAAACCTAATAGATGTCGCGTCACAGACGCTCTGCTTTTTTTAATTTAAAATCTATTTTCGGACGGGGTGCCTAGACATGGTTAAAGATTCCAAACCATTTTGGACTAGTCATGTAGTAGGACTTTTTGAGAAGAAGACTACACATGACGCATAGTCATGACTAGAAAAATGACTAGTCTTTTTACCCGTCCTCTGCTCGCCTGGGATCCGAGGATACAGGATCCGCTTTTTCCCCCTTGCCCACACTCACACCCACACCCACACACCCACACTCACACCCACACCCACACACCCAGACCCCCACTCACACCCACACCCACACCCACACACCCACACACCCACACCCCCACTCACACCCACACCCACACCCACACCCACCACACCCACCACATCCACACAGCCACACCCACCCACACCCACACCCACACCCACACCCACACCCACACC